TATATATATATACATCTATATATATATAATATATATATACTTATATATATATATATATATATATATACTATATATATATTTATCGTAATATATATATATTATTATATATATATATATATATATATAACTAATTATTTATAATAGCTATATCATATTATATTATACTATATATACTATATATATATATATATGATACAGATATATCGTATCACTATTATATATATATATACTATATATATATATATTATTATATATATATATTATATATATATATATATACGTATACTATATATATATATTATATAATTATCATATCATATATATATATATTTATATTATTATATATTATATTATAATATAGATATATATTACTATATTATATCATTATTATACTATATATCATATATATATTATTCTATATTTATATATATATATATATATAATATATATATATAATATTATATATATATATATATCATTATTCTATTATATAATACTATATATCTATATATACTATATATTAATACTTATATATCATATATTATATATATATACACATATATCTGTATAATGATACATATACACTTATATCTGTATACTATACAGTATATGATATCATACTATATATTAATAAAATATATATATTATACTATATATTTATTAATATATATATATATATAATATATTTATATTATATAGTATTATACTATATATCTACTTATATATACACTATATACTAACATATACTATTATATATACTATATATACTATATATATATACTATATAATTATATATATATACTATATACTTATATATATATATATATATATATATTATATATATTATATGTTTAATATGTACTTAGATACTTATACTATAATATACGTATATATATTACATACCTATATATGATATATATATATATATCATAATCAATATACTAATATACATCTATACAGTCAACTGTATATATATAGATATATGTGTATTTATATATATACTATATATATACTATTATATATTACTATATCATAATATATCTCTATATTATATATACTACTTAATATATTATACTATATATATAATATAAATATATTATATACTTATATACCATTGGTGATTTTATCTTATAAAGTTTGAGCTGACTGAGTAATTAAGACTAATGAGTATTTTCACACTTAATGACCTAAGCCCAATTGGGTTGGGATCCATTGGCCCAAAACTCGTTAAATGGTCGCTTAGAAAGCGCCTTAAAGTAGAAAAAAATCACCAAGAAAGAAAGAGTTAAAAATAATAATATAAAAAATAAAAATACTAATAAATGTTTTATATATATAGTTATATTTGTATATATGGTCTTGGAAAATATTTTAGATCAAGCAATTTGAATATTCTTTTAAACAAAGAATTAGCATGTTCTTTTCAAAACTTTTAAATTAAATTTCTAAGTTTAGCTTGGTTTTGTATTGCTATAATGAGAAGATTTTCTAGAAAATTTACCTTAGAGTTATATATAAAAATGTTTTCTTGAGTAATAACTAGCTTTAATTATCAAGTAAATTTAGTTATTTACTAACTTCTTTAATTTGGTAAGATGACCTAATTTTGTGGGTATATTCACTACAAACCCTCACGAGACTACAACTCGTCCACTAGCGTAACCTAGGGGTTTAAAGGTTTGTTGTATGCGCTAAATAAAACCGTAATTCCTGTGAAAGTGAGTTAGGTTTTCTTTCATTTTTCTTTCTTTGCTAGAGGACTAGCAAAAGTTTAGGTGTGGGGGTATTTGATAATCACATTTTATTATAATTTTATACCCTCATTATCTAGTTTATATGAATAAATTTATCACAAATAATTGTTTTTATCTTTAATTGTTGATTAATCAAAAATAAAAGCCTTCTGTCAACAAAGCCCACTAATTAAATGAAGAATATATGCAAATACATGAAAGAGCCCAAGCGCAAGTCCAAAAGCCCAAAGCCAAAGCCAAATGAAAGAGGAAATCAGCGGATTGCAAAAGGAGGGATATGGGTATCGATGCCGGCATCGATGCCAGCAATGATACCCGTATCGATACCAGCTGTAGGCATATAAAATTGCTTATATGTCCCTTAGCTCAGCTCGGCACAAACCGACAAACCAACGAGGTGACGAGATCGACGAATCGCACGCAAGCAACGGAATACATCCATTCGTGTGCGGGATCAAGCCAAGTGTTCGAAGAATCAACGAGTCATTCAAACAAGAGCGGACTCGGATGAATAACGACCAAATCAAAGATCGGTTTCGGACTCGAACTCAGAAGTGGATTTACTGCCAAATCAGGAATCCAAATTACTGCCAAATCAGGAATCGATTTACTGCCAAATCAGATCAACGAATCAGAGTCTGGATCAACCGAAT